GGGATTCGAATCCGCGACCCTCAGATTGCGAGTCGAGCGTCTTATCCACCTGGCCATTTATTGTATTAATATGTTGATAATTTTATTAACATGCGAATATAATCAATAAAGGACCAAAATGAAATATTGTTAAGTTATTGAGAAATAGGTTTTAATTTTTCGAGTTACAAGAGCAAATTGGTTAGTTTTTTTTAAGAGGAGCAAATAGAAAAATGGGAAGGTGAAAGCACGTGATATGATACGTATTATGCCGTAATGTTTGTGCGCGTATTCAGCATAGAAGCACACTGTGTACACACTTTGTAGTTGTCAATAATTTGTAGTTGTCACATAGAGCAAAGTATAATGCAAACTATAAACTTTAAAAATGAATTGTTTTATTCTTAATATATAAGTGGACTGGGCGGACAACTGGTGGTTAGTGTGTCAAAGGGTTTGAGACGAGATAACTTTGCGCTTTCGGCTATGTGTGTGTGAGCTGTAAGTGTAAAAATCGGTTCTATTATTCGGTTCAAAGAACTAGACTAAATCCTTGTGGCAATGAGTGTTGCTTGACTTCTCTCTAATCAGTTCCCCCCTCTAATTCCCTCTAATCAGCGGACTTACAACGCTAGAAACCTGGTTTCGATTCCCGTGGTGGGCAGAGCACAGATAGCCCATCGTGTAGCTATGAGCTTGACTTCAAACAAACTCTCTAGTCATCAGTTCAACATCAGGGGTGGCTGTATCTAAATCCTAGGGGGTCTCTCACCTCACCGCTTAGCCCACATCTACATTAGGTGGCGCTCAGGTTTTATAATCCTATATTGATCCACTTTGTGTGTGAACTTGTTTGTTCGTCCGCAAACTCCTCTCACAGTTTGGGGGCTAGCAGGACCAAACTTGGCACGCGAACTCAGGGTGTCTATATGACGTAGCCCCCTCACTAAGGGAGTACGGAAGGTGTTCACCCAGGAATGGGAGAGTCTAGGCGTATGTTTTCGCGGTCCTTGAACCCGAATCTGGTATCAGATTTTATGTTCCTGGCCCTCTCGGAATCGCGGGGGCGCCACGTTTGAAACAGTGTTATTATCTCCAAGCTAGCGAAACCCTCGTGTAGGACTAAACATCAACGTTCAGGACAATATATCATGGTACGGAAGGGAGGAAGAGGTCTCAGAGTACCTGACCCTCCTAGGTCACATAAGACCTAAATTCCGATCAGGAGATCAGGCTAGCGAAACCAAATGTGGCACATGTACTCAAATATCAAGAGCAGGTGCCCTATAGAGGTTTATTTTTCAGTACGGTTCTCCCTTGGGGGTAGTTGTAGTAGTAATTGAGGTTAGTGGAGGAGCTTGATCGGTAAATTGGAGCCTCTGTGAATAATTAGGGGGCCTTTAATCCCCCGCAGTGGAGCGCGGGAATTTCATGTTAATTATTATAAAACACAGCTATAATAAGTCGCAAGGAGCATGCGCAAAACGCCTATCAGTTCTCAACTCATTAGTTAACTTTTTTTTTCTTTTTTAATAACGATGTAATTTGAATTTTGGGTAAAATAATAACCCATAAACGAAACCTCTTAGTTTCCAACGTTAGCCAACGCGCAATTTTCTAGCTAAATGTCAAAGGTTAAAAGAATTTTCCGGAAAAAAATAACCTTTTATGTTATTTCAAGCGTAAATTCGAAAACCGTTTTATATCCAAAAGTAACAAAAGACTCGAAACAAAGTTATGGAAAGCAAATGTGACAAAAGGAAAAGTAAACATTCTAATCATTTTTCAAACATCAATAAATATAAAATATATAATATAATATATATAATAAATATATATCGAAAATATAAAATAGTGCTGCGTAGGAAGACGAAAAAGAAGTTCCAATATTTGAAAGTAA